TTCTGTTGATGACTTGCTGAGCCGCCACGCGTGCCAAGACTGAATACCAGGGAAGGCGCGCACCGTCAGCCACTCTTCTTTTTTTTGTTCACGATACCGAACAACCTCATTTTCGTCCAGATATACAAGATGCACGCCTTTCAGTGTCTTTGATAGAACGCTCACCATTGTCTTGGCCGTCTGAATTGCGCTTACTGAACGTTCTCTCAGGTTGTTCAGCGTGGCCTGGTGCTTCACGAGTCCGCCAACTCCGTCACATGCATTTTTCCCATGTCCAGATGCAGAAAATAACCACTGGGCTTGTGGGCAATCGTCCTTTGCAAATTGGTGAAGCTGGTAGCGATTCTTGAAATGACTGGCGGCGCCGTCACTTACGTACGTCACGTACGAGTATACCGCAACGTTGTCTTCAACCCACTCCTTCACTTTTTCTAGAGCCAAGCAAGCGTGAGCGGCGTCGTGACACAGGTCCTCACTGATGATGGCAAAGCTGTTTGTAGATTTTCTTGTCGTCACTACACATGTAAATATTGAAACTTGTTTTTTTTTTCCAGTGATATGCTTGCACTTCGTCAGGAAGCACGATGGTCCAGTTTTCAGCAAAGTCAAAATGAAAGACAATGCTCCCGCGTTGCATGCACTGTTTTTCATCGTAGATCGCTTTACCTTGCGTTTGCCGGATATGGTTGTGAAGTACCCAACTTCCAACCGTCACTTGGATGACTTTTAGGAAAGTCTCAGGTTCCAAAGTTTTTTTCACAAGGTCGCCGGACTCCCATGTTGCAAGCACAATCTCTTCATCCTCCGGGATATCAAGTTCCTGGAGTGTAAGAAACTGGCCTTTTGGGCAGTGATCACAGTCTCCTTGAAGGCACAGTTCTGTTGCTGGGTCGCACAGAAATGCCGAGTTCATTTCACCAGTGTTGAATGTTGAGCCTCTAACGTTCTCTAGAGCGGCAATACAAAGATAATAATTGGCGCAGCGCACACAAACGCACACTTCCTGGTGTGGAATACATTGGACCCATCTAGGGCGCAACGAATAAAATTTCGTTAGCCCAACGCCGAAATCGGGATGCTTGTCTTTGTATATACGGAAGACCTCTCGTATTGAGCGTGTCATGAAGCGCTTTGGCACGAACGTTTTCTCTCCGTTGAGCATGACAGAGATGACGTCCTTCTGGTTGGGACTTTGGCGCGAACATTGTAGCTCGTCTTTCGTGAAGTACTCTAGGGCAGCAGACAGGTTCTCAGGGCTCACCTTGCACCTCGTGTAAGGATCCGGCTCATACCACACGCCATGCTTTTCCTTGAGTTTTCGGGATTTACTGATGAGGTACATTGAGGCCTGTGGAATCATCTTTTGAACCTCATTCTTCGTCAGTGTTGACGGCAGGAGAGTAAGCAGTTGACAACGTTCCCGGAGAGAGGTGGCGGTTTCAAAGGCCTGCCGAAAGTTGTCCACCCACTCAGTGCATGTGGAGCATGTTGGTTCGGACGACCCCGATGGTGCGTCCCTGTCGTACGCAATACGTAGCCTTGAGCGTATATTCTTGACAGCAACCTGCTCCAGTTCTGTCTGCTTTCTCTTGACATAGGCAGGCCTGTCCCGACTTCTTACGACGCTTGGTTGTCTCAGCGGCGACACATCTGTAGGTAGTATGCTGCGATTTAGATCTTCAATTGCTTCTTCAGCTGGCACAAATATGTCAGGGCACTGCTCTGAGCTTCGCATCGAGATCTCCTTAGTGATGTGCATGAAGCAATGGTAGCACAGGTAGTCCGTCGCACTCACTTTGGTGGAACAGTCAGGCGGAAGAATTTGCTTCAACGAGTTTAGGTCCAACTCGCCAACACTTCGAAAATTCCGCTGCTTTGGTATAGTCTTTTTGTGTTTGCAAAATTAATCTGCACAAAACACTCGTTCGGAGCTCCAGGACGTCTTCATAATGTATACATAAATAATAGAAATTAAAACCCAACTGATGGCATATAATTGCCAAGTGAAAGAACTACTGGGTGCACAAGTGACAAGTCCGAGGCTGAGGAGCTCACTCACTGCAAACGTACATTTGAAAAGAGAGGTCACAACTGAGGCTGTCGGCAAAGCTTGATCCACGTCAAAGGAAGAAAGAGGGAAAGTCTCCAGACAAAAAATTGTGGTCAGCGGCCTTCGAAAAAGACTTTCCGGAATCGCACTGCCGTCCCTCCACGCGCTGATATGAAAGCACCCGAGCTTCTACCACGTGGTTCATGACACAGCCTGAGCCATGTCGGCGACCGGTTCGCGAGGGGTTGGCGGTGGGGTTACGTTGATGGTCACTCGGATTAGCCCTTGCTGTACTGAGCTACCGCCTGCAGTGCCTTATCGCCGGCTGGTGTCAACAACGAGAACACACACACCCTGTCTACACCAAAACTACAAGCGTTCACCGCACACGCGTCGCCGCCGCTTTTAAGCTTTTGTGAAATTGCTTTCTTTTGCCGCGGAGAACCGCCTTATCTTAACTACGCGCCTGAAATCCTTCCAGGCGGGCGTACACAATATCAAGCGTTTCGAGAAATGCCCGTGGAGTAGAACTATGGGAAAATTCGGAGCCCGCGATGTCGATATCGTCGCCGTTGTGTTAGTACGCCGTCGCGTACTGCAGTCCCCGTTGGGGGAGGGGGTGGGGGGCGGTCTTACTACGATAACATGGCGACAGCGTTTACACTCTATGTATTTACGCGAGGTTCAAGTATTTGGGGATAATGCTGCCGGTTGGTGTGCCCTTTGTGCCTGATATTATCGCCCGTGACGCCAGCGAGTAAGATGGCGACAGGCATGACTGCTCAGTAAACAGGCGTCGGCGGCCATGTTTTGCTGATTGAAGCGAACCCCCTTGTCCTTGACAGCGAGCGGGGAAATGCGAAAAAAAGATTGTATCGGCCGTTTTGCCAGAACTAGCGACGAGTGTCGTCTGCGGTTTCCGGCAACTATTTTGCCATAATCGTGAGCTTAGCGAGGAAATGGTTTTTGCTAGCCACAGAACACTACCACGCAGAAAGGGAATGCTTGAACATGTTTTTGTTCTGGATATATATCAGGGATATATATGAGAGAGAGAGAGAGATGAAGGTAGAGCGGAAGAGGGAATAGCATATAGTGTCGCAGGAGAATAAAGTAAACAAAGTTCCTAGTGGCCGATGGCTGCATGATCTTTTCTCGGATCACTAGTCCGTAATATGATACCTCTTTGTACACAGTAGTTTCTCCTTGATTTAAGTGTGTGAACGATTTCTTTAGTTATCATTGGCCTCATCTGAATAAAAATATATAAAAGATGTGTGTTGCTTTCATGAAACTGGAACTCAGAGTCAGTTCTTGTATAAAACACTGCTAAGTGTAGGCTTTGAAAAAGGACCCTACTTTGGGGAGTTGTATCTTCTTTCTCAATAAAATGATGCAACATGTTTTTAATGGAAATGAATGCCGAAATAGAGTATAACAGGTTACCTAAATTTAAAAAAAATCGAGGGTGGTGTTTTTTTTATTCGCATCGGAATTTTTATTTGTTTGATTTTTTTCCCATGTTTTACTAAATATATCCTAACTATTGTATCACACAGATACCTTATTTATTTTTTTCAATAATAGACATATATTAGTAAAATAATGTCTGCAAGTTATGTAATAATTATTAAATTATTTCTTGTGATACAGATTTCCAAAGTTTGCCATTTGTCGTTCGAGCAGGCATGTTTGTCAACTTTTAGAAAAATAAATATATTTTAAATAAATATGATTACTTTATATTACAAGCAAGCTACAGCCATAGTTTGCGCCTAAAACGTATTAGAGTTCTCCTAATGTTATCGCTTTAGTTATTCACTCTCAAACGGGCCCCCTCCATCAGTGCGCGTTAATGCAACTGTCCACCACCTCATGCCTTACGATTTTTCCTGTCCCCAAGTATTTTTTCTAGTCAAAACTAAGTTTGGATTCGTTCATACCAGACACTAGGCAATAACATATAAAAACATCAGTTGATTTGAAAATGTCGACTAGCCATCCTTTGGTCGATCTTATCTGAAATCACCCTATATTTTTTTTGCGTTGCCGAACACGTTGTTTTTTTTTTTGTTTTTTTTTTGTATCTTCACGTTCGAACGTCAACGGCCTATATTGATGGTCTAGGTGCCATTTAGACGGTAATTGAGATACCTAGTAGTTATAGGCCTGCAAACACTCGTAAATTTAAAAGAATTCCGGGAGAAATAAGCTTGGTGTAAACAGTACGGATTTTGTCATTTTACAATGACATGTGATCACCAGTGTAAACACTGATGGTCACCGACTTGTTATGCCTAATTTAAGGGTGCGTTATGTTTGCGACTTTGAGTTGCGACGTTCAGAGGCGCCTCAGCTTTCGTTCAAGCTTCTTTCGGCGCACGAGCTACGCCGTAACTGCAAATTGCGAGAAGCAGAATCGCACCATGTCAATCGGGTTGTAGCGTCCACGCTGCCCCGTTCACGCAAGTGGATCGTCGTTTACGCCATACCAGTAGAAGGGTGATGAGCTGGGCTAGTTGGTCAGCATTATACATGGTTAAAGTAAGCGAGCAACGTGAGGAAACTGTAGAAGAATACCTTTATTCTTCTACAGGTTCCTCGCGTTGCTCGCTGACTTTAACCATGTACTGCGCAATACCATACATTTCACGCGAAGTTTTGCGGTCTAACGAGCCCTGTCCACGTCGCGGAGGCCACTAAAGCAGTGAAACCTTTCTAGAAAGACGTGGAGTCAATAATGCCATCTCGAAATATACTCGTAGAACACGGGAACTCTAGGGGATGCCGTGCTTTTTGTGTACGCCCCATTCTCAAGGGTGGCACCGCTGGTGCCACCGTGGGCGTACCGCTGCTTTATTGCGCATGCAAAATATTTTACGCAGCACTGACGCAGAAACAAACAAGCAAAGAAAAAAAGTAAATGCACATTTAGGTAAAGTAATATTACCTCGCATTTTGTAATGCTGTTAGAATCTGATGAATAAACCTGACATTCGTCGGTTCCTTTTGCTGCGTAAAACTGGGCTGCAAGCAGGTTATCATTGTACATGGCTGGAGTTCCTGGGCCCTTCAGACATTTCTCATCGCTGTAAGAGAATAAGAAAATAATCGATCATTGTATGGAATTATCCTAGCATTAACATTTTGACGTGATCACAGAGAAATGTAGAGCAGACGCAGATTGGAGAGGAATTCGACGCGTGAGCGTTGGGCCGGTCGAGCTCGTGTTCAGTCAGAGCGTCGAAGGGCGCTCGGCGAGGGGCTCGGGGTCAATTGCAGAGTGCACGCCATCAAAGCGCAAGGATGTTACGTGAAGGTAAAGGAGGCTCTTTCTGAGATTTGGTTAGTCTAGGTGTTAGCTGAATGGATTGGATAAAACGTCGTGCAAACCGCGCCGTTTTAAGAAAAGAGAAGTGTTGCGTATTTGTTTAAATTTGTAAGAGAATGGTGTCTCCAACATTTATATCGTCATTCATGTTTGTTTATAAACTACAGATATTAGATAAACTTATGCGAAAATAGTATGGTAATTCAGTTTACCCTTTTCCGTTGTTTACTTTTGGCATATTTTGCGACTCAAAACTCAAAATGAAAAAAAAAGAAAAGAAAAATGCGGTGCGTAGAAGGCGCGAAACACGTGGAACAGCTAAATTCGGACGTTCTTGGATAATTTTCTGCACAGATTTAAAACTTACGGCTCTTACAGAGGGTCTGGGGAGTGTGATACGAGAGCATCTCATCGCGTCGCGGATACCGGTAATAGAATATAATATTACTTTCGCAGATGTATGATGGTCGTATAATTTATTTGAAAATTACTTAGATAACATTACAAATATGGCCGAGGTCCACGTAATAAGCAAGCAAGCTCGCAGACAGGTATGGCAGTATTCACGGTATAAGCTTTCTCAATCGCTTGATATCATAGAGGTATCCACGAACACACAGGTGCGTCTTATATTTTACGTTAAGTTTGATTGACACTGCCGCGGAAGCAGATGGCTTCTCCTTTTTGTACCGTGGGGGGGGGGGGGGGGGGGGGGGGGGGGGGGGCAAATGTAGCCGGGATCAATTTCTGGAGGGCGGGCCGTTCGTAAAACCAGCTTCTGCCGTTAAAAGCGTTTAGCGGCACCCCTTCCGAGCCAGTTTGCCGACGGGCGTCGTCTCCTATAGTTCTATCGGCATGTTGTGAATTTTTTTCCCAAGCGTTTTAAGACCATTCTTCGCTTTTTGCAATATCTGATTTGAAGAAACAGCATACGGCCGTGAATTTATGTTTTCTTGTATGGAAAGCGAAGCCAGAAACTCTTGTAATGCTTCAGACAGCTTACAAAGAACATCCTATCAAGAAATCGCAGGCTTACTAGTAGTTCGATCACTTCATGAATGGTGAATTATTGATCGACGACCAGTGAAACTTCTAGTGAAACTGTTAATCCGGCTGTTTTACCTGGGCGGTTGGCGACGCTTGTGCAACTCAGTGAACGCAAAAGCGACCCAATTTGCGGAAAATCAGGGAGAGGTGGTTCCATCTGGAGAAGGTCGCAGAACAGACTGCCCTGTTAGTGCAACAACGTTTTAACAAAAATGGCACGACACCGCTTCTCGATCCCACTTCGCCCCGTGTGACATTTTTATTCTCGTCCGTATGAAGAAGGTTCTCAAAGGAAAACGTTTTGTGGATGTGGAAGGTCCTTCAAATCAGATATTACAAGAAAACGAGGAATGATTTTAAAGCGCTTGGGGAAAAACATCACAACATGCCGCTAGAACTTTAGCACAAGACGCCGGTCGGTAAACCGACTCGGAAGAGGTAGAGTTCCTGTATAGGCGCCCTACGGAAGCAAGAGTTGCGCGTCTGTTCTCCACGAGCCGCAGCACCGCTATTCGCCTAATTCAGTCACGTGAGGATCAGGATCAACATGTTGTGCAGGAAAGACGGCTCTACGGGGATGAACACGCAACTCTGGCTCCCGTAGGGAGCCTATTAGCGGCGAGATGTTTCGGTGGCGCCCTCATATGGCTACCTTTCGTGACGTCATTACCTGGTGATCAACAAGTTTGATGGTGTTTGTAATTAGCTTGATGGAAGCTTGAAATCATTGCGCTCTCAAGGCAACACTACCAACACCGTCGAAATTGAAGTTCTTCCATTAATCTTATTTCCGTTGATGAGAAATCCTTTGCTGACGTCATAGTCAGCATTCGGCCAATCGTGGAAGGCCGACCACAACGACGCTTTCAATCGCGCACGTCGCCAATACAGGAACTCTAGGAAGTGTCGTCGCTAAGCGCTACTAGCGGCGGATGCTGGTACTAGGAATGGCCATCCAGAAATTCATTCTGATTACTTTTGAGTCCTCCCACGTATACTCGTCTGATTATTATTGCTTGCTAATGCTTCTGCTCGTAATCCTCTCGTTGGAAACACCAGCTTTTCCGTGTGCCAAGTGAAATGTTTCGGTAACCGCAGCCTCTCAAGCTTTCGCGTCCTATCTCATAGCGCTACATTCTGGCAAAATATGAGCTTTTGACAATGCGTGTTTATTCTTGTGACGCAATAAAGACGGTTTGAAATTCTCACCCGACGCCGAGTATTTCTTGTGCTTTGCTCGCTTACCTTTTTTTCTTGCAGAACTCAGAAATCCCTTCTTTGCTACAATTTGAAAGTTCAGAGCGGCTCCCACCGGTCATATTTGAAAGTAAGTAGCCACCTTGACTCTTACAGCCCGTTTCATCATCTTTCCTTGCTCCCAGTCTTAAAATAGATGACACAAACTCGTCAAACGCGATCAACCTTTCTTTCTCACATGAAGGATAAACTCTCAGGACCAGGTTGTACTTACATAAGCGCCAGCTGCAACGCCGCACTTCTAACGCCGTTGAACGTCTTACCGTCATCGTGGACAACACCCACACTGGAGTTTGTACAGAGTGACTCGGATGGAGGAAGTCCTGTAAGAATGCAAAGTGGTATTTGTGTTCTGGTAACACCCTCAAACAAGATAACGACAAACGATCATAAAAGCCACTTAATGAAAGAGATAATAGAAGCTGGCGTTAATATAAATACTCTAGGTTTCTGCTGCTTGAACTCGAGCGTTTAGATACCGATTCTTTCGCTAAATAAATGACGATGTATGACTTTCTGCAATGTGCTTCTGTTTCTTATGCATGTTTCCTTATTTTTGGCTAAGGTTAGGACTAAAAACAAAATTGCGGTGTTTTGTCGGCAGGAACATTACCAAGTCCCTTGCACGATAATCTGAAATAAAACTGTCAAAGTTACCATTAAAGTTTGCTCTGATATAGGCCTGTTAACACAATCTACAGGCAAGGGACTTAAAGCTTTGAAGGAAAACTGTTTAAAAGGCCCCCAGTATGTGTATACTATATTATTAAATTTTGGGTAATATCGCAGACTGAAGAAATAATATGTATCTAGTTTCTAGAGCACAATTTTTATATTGCTTTGACGGGTGTGCGAGATGCCAGACGAGGCGAACGAAAAATATTCTTATGTGCAAATGAATGCTCACCTTTCCACTCCTCGTTTGTGCCAACTTCCAGGTGTACACAATGGCTAAGACCAAGAAATATTCAGATTTGAATTACTATAATAAACAACTGTTGAGTGACAAAAGTAATCCCTGGTGAAGGGGAACAAGAGGGAGAAAGGACAAACACAAACCTCCAAACACAGCTAGGTGACCAGTGCACGACAGAAAAAATCCGCCTGGTTTGGGTATCGAACCCGGGACCTCTCCATATCCAGTGGAGCGCTCTACCAACTGAGCTAACCAGGGGTAAGACGCCTGTAGAGCAAACAGGTTTTATCTGATAAAACCTGTTTGCTGTACTGACGTCTAGTCCCTGGTTAGCTCAGTTGGTAAAGCTCTCCACTGGAAATGGAGAGGTCCCGGGTTTGATACCCGAACCAGGCGGATTCTTTCTGTCGTGCACTGGTCACCTAGCTGTGTTTGGAGATTTGTGTTTGTCGTTTGTCCCACTCGTTCCCCTTTTCGAGGGATTATTTTCGTAATTCTTGTCCAGGTCGCTTGCACCTTTGCACTTAATTGCATTATAATCAAAACTCATATGTTCCTGATATCGGCGTTGCAAGACTAAATCATATCTTGCGTTCCCCCGGTTGATATGACTTACGTATCCCGCTTCATGCAGCGAACTGTGCACACTTAACACCTGCTACCCCAAAATTTTCAAATGTTATTTTCGGAACGTTCTCTCAAAGTTTTCAGGACTATATTAAGTTGAGTCATTGTGGATAACGTGTTTTGAGACATTACTGACAATTTGTCAGTGCTCAAGTAAACTTTGCGATACATTCTGTCTCAGTTTATTTATACCAGCTTTCTTCTCCAACGTCGTAATATAATTTTATCGAAATCAGGTTAGAAAAGTGACTCTTGCAAAACTAATTTCAACTCCAGAAAGTAAACCAATGAAGCAAAATTGGATTTTAAATTTATTAACTCACACGCCCCAGGCTGGCAGCTATAGGTTGTTTGCACATGACGTCAATCCGCCATTTTGTTGTTAGTTTGCTTTTTCAAACAAATTTACTACATTGAAGGATTACATCGTAACCGGTTGAAATTATATCAGCGGTGCTCTACGCATTTGAGAAGGCATGTAAATTCTTGAAATGCTCGAGTTTGGCACGCCAGAGAAGTCGCAACAACAAAATGGTGGACGAAATTACGTCAGTGAAAACACCCTATACCGGGTGTTTGGGGGCGAGGATAAACTTTTTTTTTTTTTACCACAAAATGAACTACACGTCGATGATTGCGCATTATCCACCTAGATGTAGCGCTGCGGTTTGAGATCAGACGCCGGAGTTCCAGGGCTTACCGTTATCCGATTCAAAAGTCATAAAACATTTCCCAAATGTTCAATGAAAAAAAAGAAAAAAAAAGGGGTACGTTTTTGATAGCAGGCGCCATTCCTATGTATTCGCGGCTTTGTTGGCCGCCATTCTCTCAATGAAACTTTCCGAAAATCGATTTATAAGTTTTTAATATATTACAAAAGTTGTAATCGATTTTACAATCACGCTATAAAGTAACGGTAAGTTTTGGAACCTTGGCATCTGATTTCAACCGCTTCAACTATATTTGGGCCGATACAGAGCTCTCAGCGACGCATTGCGAATTTTTGCGGTTGGAAAAACAAGATTTTCTTTTCTTTTCAAACGTCCGGTATTTTTATGCTACGGAAACAGCCTCAAGTAAGTTAATTTCTAGATATAATCGTCAACCCCGTCAGAACAAAGCAGTGGTGACAAGCTCTTTTTTTTATAGCTATACCCCAAAAACTGCACGTCACACAGAATGTAACAGTGTATGATTAACACAATAAAGCGTACAAAATAGTTTCATAGAGAGAGAAAGAGAAAAAAATAAATAAGAGAATCCTCGAATGAGTGGTAATTTATCTTAGTCTTACCCAGTCACAAAAAAGACGACGTCCGCTCCCTCGTAAACGTTCCCCTGAGTTGCAACGTGGTATTTAAACTTTTTCATTGTTACCGATCCATTTCGGCAGGGCTTGTATGGTGTTATGGTTTTGTCAATTTCTTCAGACTCCTCTTGTTCCTCGTCTTCCTCATCGCTTGCGTCATTGCGTGACTCTACACTTTCTTCGTCTGTTATAGACATATACAAGTTACTCTAAAAATGTTATTAAGTTAAGTTACTGAGTATTAGCCTTATAAGTAATTTGAATTGAGTAGAAATTACTCAAATGGAGAGTAATTGAGTAAATAAATAAATAAATAAATAAATAAATTACCAACTGCCGTAAAAAGTAGCGAATTGCTTTTGAAGTTACTTTTGTATTTTTTATGCTAACAAGGAAGTACATAGGTTTTGATCCTTTAGCGAAATTCTGCTAGCCGAATATAAAGCGGCTTGTGTTTTCACAGAAATGCCTTAATAGCTGGTTTTGCCACCGCTTGCCTAATTGCTTTGCTCTTGTTTTTCTTTTTGGTCAATGATGCTCTGCGGATGTATATTTTCTCCTTTGAGCTTTAGCACCGCCTGAGCTTAATTATGCAGACAGTGTTTGCTTGTTTACAGTGTTGCGTAAAGTACGTCTCAAAACTACTTTTAAGTACAAAGTAAATGAGAGGTTATGTACTTCAAATTAAGTAGTAAGTACACCGGCCGCAATGTATACTTGAACCAAATTAGTATAGATACAATGTGCTTGCAAAGTAAAGTAGCAGTACTTTTTTAACACAATCTTTCAGAATGCCCTTTCATCACATACATAGCGTTTTTTCTTTTCAACTGGTATGCATTTCTCCAGAGGTAATTGGAGGTGCATCAGTTATTTTTTTTTTCGAAAATGGTGGCAAATAATATGTCACCACAGAATAATTGTTTTATTCTCGCTCAAGAACTTTTTAACAAAATCAACTTATAAGACACTGTTATGTTCACTTCAGTTTCGATATAACTTTCTTCCTTCATTCTTGTCGTTCCTTCTATTTTTTTGTTCTTCTTTACTGTGGGCTGTTCTTTCTAGGCGTGCAATCTGTAGCAGCGTCTCCCGAACACCTGCGACGCTGTCGAACGGCACGCGCCAAGAGCACCCGCTCTGCTGCACGCGCTCCACTCTTTGCTTCGTTGTTTTCTTCTCTTTTTCTGCTCCGATAATTAAGAACAGTTCTATCATCCGCTCTGTCGTAGTGAGCGTCCTTGAGGCGAATGCGAGAGGAACCTATTTGTATCGGTCCTATTGGCGACGTGAGTGATCGAAAGCGTCGCTGTGGTCGGCCTACCACAATTGGCTGAATGCTGACTATGACGTCAACAAAGGATGTTTCATCGACGGAAATAAGAGGAAAGTAAGAACTTCAATTTTGACGGTGTTGGAAGTGTTGATTTGAGAGCGCTATGATTTCAGGCTTTTACCCTGCACATTACAAATACCATCGAACTTGTTGTTCACAAGGTAATGACGTCACGAAAGGTAACCAAACGATGGCGCCACCGAAACATCTCGCCGCTAATAGGAGGTATTCATTGGACGCTATATTTGAGGGCGATGTTTAGAGCGCATGCTCAGAACGAGCTCACATTAATAGCCTGCTAAGACCGGCAACCTTGATGGTGCTAAATGCAGGCTCCGAAAGAACTGCGGAAGCTCGCCGTCAGCACGCGCTCAGCAGCAGCGCACACGGATATGGCCGCCAGTGAATACTCCCTATAGCCGCCGTTACTTCACTCAGAAAAATGACCAGATGACGTCTCGAAAGACAACACAAATGAAAATTTTAGGGGTGTCGAACCTTTCAGATTTTTAGCCCCCTCCCCCCTAGCCTACGCCACATCTTTCCCCCTCTTTGCAAATATCAGCTGATCTGACATATCTCTTTTGTGCAGGAACGTTTGTTTATAAGCAAACCTACCACTAAAATTCGAAAGTAATTTGCAATTTGAGTAAAAGTTACTCCGAAAAGTAAGTGAATTAAACTACTAATCCCCGAAATCCAAATGTAATTGAAAGGTACAAAACTACCCAGAAAAGCAGTTAAACTACAGTAACTTGAGTAGTGTAGGTGAACTACGTACAAGTCTGGTCTGTTGTGGTTTCCTCGCTTACTTCGTCCTCGTCTGGTTCATGATCCATATCCTAAAAAAAAAAACAAAAAAAAACACGAAAATAATAATTTTTGGACGGATGATCTGCAACTTTCTGTAGCAGGTTTTTCGCGAAACAGGTTTCCAGCAACAGGGTTTAAAGCGGATACATCCATTTTACCGAAGCTCAGTTTGGCGAACGCCGGTTTACAGACCCCCGTTTATCGAATCCCTTCATAGATTAACTCATATCAGAGAAAATGGCGACGAGCCTGCTTTCAACAAATTTGTATTTATAAAAAAAAAACAAAAAAAACAACTAAATTTACCAAGCTCGGCTACTCATTTTAAGGTTGGCACGTTGGGTCGCTTTGTCTTTGCCGACGGTGAAGCCGAGCTGCAGTCAGCGAACCAGTTGCATAGAGAAAGGGTGAAAAAAATTATAATTTTTTAAAATAAAATGAACTGGATTTTTTTATTTAAATTATTCGATTTATTTTGTATAAATCGCATTAATTTGATTTAAATCCCTAGCTGGAAGTTAGTGACTTATTATCACTGCATGTATCACACGCAAGATTGATTTTTCAGTACGTCCGATCACTGATAACAATGCAGAATAAAAAAAACTACTGTAAATTTGATGTATAGCTTAACTACTTTACATTTCTGTAATTCCCCATATTACAACAGCTTGCTTTTTTTAGTTAGCTAAAAAGCTTTCTTTAGTTTTCTTGGTCGTTCTGATTTGCTTGCAATAAGACATTACTTTCCTCATTTTTGTTCCCGTCTTTCGCGTTCTGATTTGGCTTGCAATAGAACGTTAGGTAGCTGACGAAAGAAGTGGAAGGCAGAAAGAAAGCTCAATGCTCCGATTTGATCAGAATACACTGCTTTCTGTTCGTGCTCAGCCTGATATAAATCTTTATTTCTTGACGTTTTTAATATTATTTTAGTTCAAAACTAGTACAAAGCACGGAGAGCGAAAGCTGGCACTGCAGAGCCCAGGATCCTGAGTTCAATCCCCACCCCTGCCCGTTTCGATCTCGATGAGCATCGTACCGGCGTGCGGTCGTCTATCACTACTGCATGGTACACTTTAAAGACCCCAGGATAGCGGCTGTACTGCACTGGCTAAATGTCTCATCTACAGCTGGGAGACTCGTCACCCGTTGAGGCAGACCACCGTTCTAGGCTGTAGAAATATAAACACAACCCAATTTTTTTCTCCGACTACGATTGTCTGCAAAACCAGACTGGAAGTGGTGGTAGCTGTTCTCAGCAGAGAAGCGCGTAAGAAGAACCTTGGAAAAAATTCTGTATATGATGGATAAGGCAGTAATGCGTCTAAAGGCTAAGGCATCTGATGCGTTAGCCACTTTAGGAATGAAACTGGACGAGACACTTTAAGCTCGCCTGGGATGTTCCTAAATTAAAGCCAGTTATTAAAAAAAAAACAACTTCAGCTAGAACAACTCGGTGAATCTTACGTATTTCAGACAAGGAAAGGCCATCCGGCCCCGATGCCGTATCTGACGAAAAATATGAAAGTGATGAGGTAATTTCTTATGCAGAAAAGAACTACACCTCTACAGTCGTTTAAAGACTGCAAGCTAAGCACTCACTCACGGGCTGTGACTCACTCGAAAACAGTGAATAAAAAGTAGAGTGCAGGCGCCCTAGGAGACAAGAACCTAACGTCTTTCCCATAAGGAGTTCGTCAGCCACTACTTTTGGACCTAACTTGTAAAGTCTCATGTGCTCTTTAAACGTTAAATAACCTATTTGTTTATTTTTTAATTCGCCAGCAAGTGGAACTGACTAAGGTGAACGTTAAACATGTTTTCGATGATGGACATTGAGCACTTCCATGAGGTTACGCAAGTCCTCGTAATCGAAATGAGTTACTGTTAAAGCTGATATGAAATCTTCCACTATACAGAAAAAATCCGCAGACTGCTGGCGGAACTCGTCTGTGAATAACTCCATAAGCGACGTTGAAGGTGGACTATCCTCGTGATAAGCTGTGTGATAACAGGGTGTCAACCTCTCTTTTAATTCTCTCTCTCTCTCTCTCTCAAATTTCCTTATATCTTATGGTTTCCTTGCCTGATTGATACTCAGGCAAGACTCCTATATCTTCGGTAGTCCATACCTGATAAACCTCGACTGTTCTTCAGGCCCTGAGCACCTACACAGGTGACTTGAGGAGGTCAAGGCGTGATCTCTCGAAACTCGAACAGCGATTTGCCCGCACCATCAGTGCATCCGCGTCCCTCTTTGTTCAAGCGCCTGGCCTATGTAATCCCTTGCCAGGTGCTGCTCGCCAGGCCCCTTTTGTGGACGAATTCAAAGACCTGGTGCGGAATCACCAGTAGCCCAATCTCTTCACTGCATTGTAAAGATCTCACCCCTGCCTATATAATGAGCATTATCTGCCCAGATTTCAGCCTTTTGATTGCCTCAGGCTCTTGGCCTTACGGAAGTTTGAGTCAATAAAAACTTTTGAACCTTTGAACATTTGCTCTGATACACAAAACAAGGTGTGCACGCCAAGGGCCCGCACCTTGGTGGTCAACGGTGTGCGTGCAGCGTCGCCCAGCGGCCACACAAGGAAACTTCCTTGTTTTTTTGTTTTTTTCTTCTCTATCACTTTTTATGTCTTTGGGCAGTAACGTTTGTCTTTATGCAAACCGAATTTCCCGAGAAATATGGGGTACTTTAGATTACTCGAATCGTCGGCTGGGGAGTGCGTGATGCCCCAACGTATTCCCCAACTTCAACGTTGGCTGAGACTTGCTCGAAGATGTGCCGCCAAGAAAAAGGGCACATCATATTATAATAATGCAATTAATGCAAAGGTGCAAGCGAGCTGGTGCAAGCAAGTTATCGTTGGCACAGAATTTACTTACTTTTTCTGGGCCTTCAGTAGCCGCGTGCAACGTCAGTTTTATTTCAAGCTTTTCGATGTCTTGGAACCACAACTCTACCTAGAAATCAAGATATTTGCAATCACTCACATATACTTATGCTGGTTCGATCGAATAAAAGCGAAAACAAGAACATCGGGGTTAATTTATTTACACTTTACCCACGCATTCGAACAAATAACTTCAGGTTATTACCACTAGACAAGAAAAGTTAACAAAAACTCGTAACGTCTACTTTCTGTTTCTGTAATTGTCTCCATGAAATTTTTCAGAAGACGGATGGCTGATTGAAGATTAATTTTATTAATTGTGCATTGTAGAAAGGAGTATTTTTTTGGTATATTGACGCTCGTAGTGGGCAGATCAGATGTCGTCAACCGCTCCGTCCCCATAAAGAACCTATCTAAAGTGCATTGTTTTATATCAACTGAGTGTAGTTCTATGCAACAAACTTATTTTGCTCTATGCTACTAATTCAAGGTATTGCTGGCCACCAGTGATATTGTTAGGTATCGGAAGCTGCTCAGCGCACATTAGTAAAGCTTTTCATGAGATTAGCGTACTTGTGGTTGTATTTTAAACTGCATTAAGCTAACAATTTGGGCCAGTTATTTCATGATCACCTAAAAAAGCACAAAAAATACAAGGACGAGGAAGTAGACAAATCTATATATATGTATTTACTTTGTATTTTGTATTTTACTTGGCTACTTTTTCGCTGCTTACTGACGCACGCGTTTTTCTACTCTAGCTGAACGCAAACGTGCATGAGATACGAACTGATATCAGTGCGTCGTTACGAAGCCTTGTCTTTTGACGTTGTCGAGTTGTTGTGCTTAATTCCTTGTTCTGGAGGCTCGTTAATATAGACCCCTTTCGAAAGTCTGCCCTCTATTGGAAGCTGAGGAATCCCTGAATGATGACCGACACCGATGACGCAGCGCAACCACCGCTACGCAAGGATGGATGCAGACACGCAGTACCAACACCTCCTAGACAGCTTTAAAGCCATGTGACGTCACGTCCGGGGTTCCCGCACAAGCGCTGTTGGATGCAAGTGCCGCGCCAGCGTTCGCGGGGAACTATGATAGGAAACGAGCCCCACGCGAACGCTGACGTGGCACTCGCATCCAATCAGCGTCCGTGCGGGACCCCCGAAGTAACGTCATGTGACGTAACGCGCAGGCTTTGCTGTTTATACTTCGTTTCACCTTAGGTCCGAGCGCGACTTATGTTATATGAGCCGAAGGGCCAATCAAACAGCGAAAGAGGCACAACGTCATGGCGTGCTCTCTGCAGTTGATAGGACCAGCCGGCATTCGCCGTCTCTCCATGCGTGCTCCTCCGCCGGCTTGTCTTATCAAGCGCAGAAAGCACGCCATGACGCTGCGCTTTTTGCTCTGTTTGATTGGTCCTTTGGCTCATAACACCGGCCGCGCTCGTACCTAAGGTGAAACGAAGTATAGGAGGTGTTGGCAGTACCAAATGCGCAATGTCACTGCGCCCGTTGTTTTCCAGTGCGTACGTTATCATTGGCTAAACCAATCAAGCGCAAGCGTCCAGCGAGACCTTATGGACTTGATTTGTGCGTTTGGGTTTGCGTTTTTTCTAGTTTCAGATATGCACGTTCATCGATGTAGACTAGCTGCTCCACCATTGTGCAGTGGTTCCGACCTTCTAAGATCCGGCACGTGACTTTCGAAAAGGGTCTATTGACATTGCATGAACTGCCTGTATCTCTGAAGAACGAAGGCGACGTTGATAGACCACGTCTAAGTTCTCTCGCCAACTATTTTATTTTTAGCAGCTCTCGTGGAAATATCTGGGTGGTGTTGCACAAACACGGTGTCACGCGACTCGACGTCACGCCAACCCATTAAACTACATGACCATGATCATGGTGTCACTTGACCAGCAGTGTTGAGTCATGGCGTCGCGTCACGTAACGTTAAATGTGACGTAACAGTGTCATCTTGCGTCATAATGTCATGTCATGGTGTCACGTGACAACCGTGATGCCGATAACGTTAGGTGAACACTGTCTCAAAAAATGTAGTGGTACACAGTCCACTCAAATTTAGCAGAGGCCCGTTCACACATTCGCGTGTGCTTTGGACCGAGTTCTTCTGGTTTCTCACGACGCAAGAACACACAGGCACGCTGGAGCCATCTCCAGCGTGCCTGAGTGACATGCTAGGTTCCTAGCATGTCACTCAATTTTGTTTTTAGCTTTATGACTCTTATTTGTGTGCCTGGAAATAAATTTTCTAAACCGAAACAAACATGTGAACATGACGTCGAGGAACACTGTCGGTGTCGGTAGGATTTTGTTGACTCTCAGCGCGGTTCCCGCGGTTGGATATTGGGTACTTGCGCGATACCACAATGATACGGTACTACCGGTTTGTAAATTTCACCAGGACCCGCCGGAATCCATGTTGGAGGCATTCGTCGCTGTTGTGCTATGTTTTGTGTGCTTTGAGGCCGTGTTTGCACTGTATTCTGTCCGCTCACTTGAGGCTTAAAATAGTCGGTTGCGCCCTAATTAATTTTTCCAGCCGTAAAAGTCGGCGAAAACGGAGCTACGTCCAGCAGTATTTTTTTTTCTTGTAGAATTCCGGAAATCGTTAGAAACCACAACAAGGCGACGCTGGAGCAATCGGTTTTCCGGCGTGATGAATGACCCCGACGAATATGCCGGCACAACCTCGACCAGGCGGGTAAAGACGGGAGCAGAACGCTGCAAATCCTCGGCACAAACATCTCCGGTCCCGAGACAAAAAACGAGAAAGAAAGTGAGAAAAGAGCAGAGAAAGAAAGCAGACGAAGAGTTAGGTTTCCTCTTTTCGCCTCGAAAGGTTGAAGTTGCTCGAGCGCTTGTCAACTTCATTTAATTCTGTCGATCCGTGATTCTGGTCGGTGTTTTTTTTTTGTTTTTTTTTTCCAAAGTAAGAAAGAAAATGACAAGGTACAAACCTTACGGGAGATGTTTTTCTGCTTCTTTGTGCATATAAAGGCGTCGCCGGCGATATGGGCTCATCGAGACCGGCAACTTGGGCCGCTGATGTCCTCTCCCCGCCTTTCCGACGCGGCCAAATGCATGGGACCTTTCACTCTAGATTATTATACGATCTCCCCAGAAAAACTTCGCAGCCAAAGTAAAGGTTTGTGGACTGCACTTTGTGTCAGGTGAGGAACCTCTTTGCGATTGACTAGGGCAAGAAAATATTCTTAGATGCGGTTATACAAAGACGGATCTACACTCTACTGTACTACTACTAAGACGCCGAATGTCTCCAACATGGGCCCAAGGCAGTGATAGCAGACAACAATGTGGGTTTCCATTTCGAGTCCAACCGGAAGTGACGTCAGGTGCAAGATGCCTTTCATGCGCGGCGGTCTGTGAACTCGAAAAATGAACGACAACGTCGCGCTCCCAGAACGTGTTGCTCCCGTTCAGCGACCTCACGCCGACGGAACGGGAGATGCTTCTCAGGACGCGAAACTCGGGATTGGCACCTTTACGAGGGCACCCCAGGCTTGTCGACGAGACCTCGGTCGCCGCCTCTAAAGGGGTGTCCAAACAGGACACTACAAAACTCTCCCGACCCTCCGCCCGTTTCGCCGACGCCGCCGCAACGCCAAGAGCGCGTCATTCGTTTGAGGCAATCGCCTGACGAGAAGCCCGTTGTCGCCATGCTTCAACGTCACGCAGATCTTTAGTTCACGTTTCTGACGTCGTTTCGGGGGTCTCTGGCTTCGTTCGGTGCGATTATTACCCTACCTGTTTAATTGATTGGTGCAGCACCCAAACGTCTGTTCGACGTAGAACTTGGTCAACAGCGTCCGAGACCGGGCCCTGACTCCCACTCCAATCCTCAAATAAAACTTCCAAATTGCCTTCATGACCTTTTTATGCTGTCGCGGTGAATCTAGTCATTGAGTGTTTTAATAAATTATAATAACGAATCGAGATCTTTGTTATAGATATGGGATTTTTTTAAAATAGTAATTATGGGTAAGGCAACGCAATCAATGAGAAATATAAAACTAACGTACGATGTTTAGAAACGTAGTAAAGTAGTCGAGGTATCTTCCATTTTCTCTGAACTTCGAAATATTTTCGAATTTTCGGTCGTAGACGATTTGTACAGCCAGATTCAGCTTGGTTTCTAGAAGAGACGTGTAAACAACATTGAAAGTGAATTCGTAAGAACGCAGAGCAGGTGTTGCTTCCGACCGGAAGTTTGAGACTGAAGGGAATAAAATGAAAGGGTAGACGACATAAAAGAAAAACAAGTACAGTAAAAAAAAAAAAAAGTGAAACGTTTGAAAATGAAGATAAGAACAGTCAGAAATGAATAAAACACAATATTTCACCCGATAGGCGTAATTGACCAGCACCCTTTGTGCTTTCCGTGTGCTTCCGAATCAATTGTGATTGAGTTTGAGATTTCTATGCTTTCCATTATGTGCTAATTTTTATTCAGATTATACTGTAAAGATAAACGACTTCATTTCTTGTCTCTTTTTTTTTTTACTTGAAAAATGTCGCGAAAGTTTTATCCCGTGAACATAGCACCTCCACGGTCACGAGTTACGGCATGTCACTCCAAACCCCTAAATTTCGTGGTCGCAAAATATTCCCAAAACACGCTGTACTAAATTCGCGCAGTATTGAGCCCGCGAAAATTAAGAAGTGTACACTATTCAGTGTGGGATTCTGGGTACGTATCTACATCAATCTTCCTGGATTTTCTCTGCACTCCCCGGCGGCAGTCATGTATTACCGTTTATTTTTGATTCCTTATGTTTTTGGCATCATAACATTATAACATCAAACCTTATCTAAAGAGCTGGGACGGAACTATATCTTCTGGTTGCAACGGAACCTTATTGAAGTGCCTTTGGTGCAGGCATGGATTTGTTACAATTGCCTCTTTAAAAAAAAGACAAAAAAGAAAAACGATATTTGGGTTTCTTATTTTTACCACGTTAGCTGTTATGCGCCTTTCGGGTGAAATTTGCCAGCGTTGGTACGCAAAATACCCGCTATCGCTCTTCATGGTCGTCACCCCTCGCACAACCAAGTCGTCTATTGAAGAAAATGATAACACTTCCCCTCCCCCCCCCCCCCCCCCCCCAAACCAAAAAAAAGGAGAGAGAAAAAAAAAAGAAACATTGTCATTCTGACTCAGTCCTACTCCTTAGTCCGAGGAGTAGGACTGGCAAGCGCGCCGTGTTGAGCAAAGTTCCTAGACGGAGGGCCGCAAAGACACGAGAGCTGCAGCACCCAGATAATCGCCAGTGAAAAATTCGGGCGTATTTTACGCCTCTAATAACACCAATCTCCGACAAATATTCTAAAAAAAAAAAAAAAAGGATCCTAAAGAGAAAATTTTAAAACAATTTGTAACAAATTGCAAGACAATTCTGTTACACGTGAATACTTGCGGTATCGCTTCCGAACTTTACCGAGCCCGGCGCCTACGCTCACGCCGCTTTTCATCACATAACACCTGACATATAAACTTGATAGCAGTTTCTGGAATGAAGACACTGCCGCTAGTCTGTTTATTTTTTTTATTTACTTTTTCTCGCCTACCTCTGTGGTCACGTGGCCTTCCCTATCAGCCAATCTGCATCAGGCTTAGCGGCTTCACCTTTATCTCGGCCTCCGCCCCCCCCCCCCCCCCCCCCCTTCAATTTCGGGCTTCATCGAAATCTGAACACCCGACTGACTCGACAGAGAACGTTTCACGCTAAAAGCAAATCTCATCAAGCACTTCTCTCAACAAAGCAGCAGCTGTCACTGTCAATAGCAGCACGTACACTTTGTATGGTGGTTTACAAAGTTGTGTAGCGAATAGCTTTTCACAAGACTATGATTTAAGAACGCAATTGGCAATTGGTATCTCAGGCACAGCTTTGCTGTGCCTGAGATACCGCCTGTTCAGGTTTCATCCGAATACACCGGTTTCATCCCAATACAACTCTAAGGATGCCACACCACGATTTTAATTGATCGATTTACCTGAAATTACAATTTTTCATGACTTAAATAGTTTCGTCTTAACAACTTGGAGGATCTGGTTCAGATCGCAAAGAGCTCAGTCAAAATATCCTCTTCGTGTGGAACAAATATGGTTTGGCGGCAGGTTCCTGTTTATTACTAGGGCTGGGCGTCGATTAAAAAGTTTTACCCGATTCATCTCCACCCTTTAATTGATGCATTATTCGGTTAATTGGTTTCATTAATTCCCACGCGTAATAGTTTTAAGAAGTAAAAATTAAATGTTTTGCCTTTGCTGAATGTGCAACAAACTGCGCGTACAATTTCGGATTTTAAATCAACCTTCATGTGTGGTAGAGGTTCATTGATATTCCCCGGCAATAGCGAAATCCTCGGATTGATCACAATCGTACCGTCCGCTCAAAACGGACACCTGCACGATGTTGAAGTGGATGGGCCACGTGTAACCTTCTCCACTTGTTTGGAGTTACAAATATCGCCCCTAGAGTTTACTTGAGGTGGTGAAAACTCCAAAAGTTTGCCTTCATACAGGTGTATTTGTCCACGTCTGCGTGGTAAAAGCGTTGAACTTTGACGTTTTTTGTTAATCGCGATTAAAGCATTAATCGATGAATCGGTGGGTTAATCCCTCAAGTGGCCAGTCATTTTTAATACGCCCTTTTTAATTCTGTGGGCGACTTTATTTACAACTTTCTTGCAGCCAAGACATTGTTTTTTGACATTTAATTCAAGTTAACACTATAATAGTACTTGGATTTATATTAATTTAGATAAATGCAACACTTCTGCTCGCTAGCTACATATTTTGTTATTATAGGTTTTTAAGTATTTTTGTGAAAAACATATTTTATGAGCACGCTCTATGCACTATAATAAAGCTCAGGTTTATAGATCCGCATTCATAGTTCTTTGATTTCATAATATTAACACTAACTATTTGTTTGGTTACATCAATTAAGAACTAGGCAAAATTACTCTGCGTACAGCAAGGTTGCAATCTTGAAAAGGTATATATACATATTAAAACTAAGCTTTTTACATTTTGCCCCCCCCCCCCCCCAAAAAAAAAAAAAAGAAAAAAAAAAGAAAAGAAATTAGTTCGTTACTTAATATTTCACAATGTAGCACTTCACATTTCTGTTTGCTTTTGGACGGGGGGATCGGTGGCCGAGTGGGCCACTCGGTCACCGATTGAACCCAGGGATCCCTGCCCGTTTCGATCTGGATGAGCATCGTACCGGCGTGTGGTCGTGCATCACTACTGCGTGATGCCCCTTAAATACCCCAGGCTAGCGGTTGTACTGCACTGGCTAAATTTCTCATATACAGCTGGGAGACAAGTTGCCCATTGAGGCAGACTAAGTTCTAGGCTGTATAAACATACACACACCGTCATTTTTCTTTTTTTTTTCTTTTGGCTTTGAGCTTTTAAGTGTTAGTTATATTCGGCACAGGGAGCTATCGTAAGTATTTTCAAAAACGTAAAGACTCACTTCCCGTGCACCCAAAAAAATCTAACCGAACTATAAAAAATACAGTTTTTTTTTTAGTGTTGATTAGTAAGGTAGAAATATTGTATATAATACCATTCTCACTGGGTAGTCTAAATTTTAGCTTGAAAACAACTCAACATATCCATGATTTTGAGAAGCATATTCTTCCCAAAACCAGGCGATTCTACTTTTAACTAATCTCTGAAGTCACGCGAGGAGGTTTCTTAATATTATATGACCATCTACACAAGAATCCAAGACTAAACTCACCTTGCGATCGGCTCTCTAAGTTAAAACCTTGTGCCACTACGAACTGGCTTACGGTTACTGACAACACAAAAATATTAATTGCCATAGCCACGGGGTTCATTCTTGAGGTAACCGAAAATAAGTTTGTGTAAGCAGACACTTTTGGTGGAAACTAAGTATGTTTCGACAATTATTTCACAACATTCGCAAGTGCTCTAGCCCTGATACCTATATATGCTTTGCCGCAGCTGTGCGTGGGCGTCGCCTTAACCAACCTTCAGCTTTTGTTTCCTCTTATTCTGTTTACTTCATCGCATCACAAACATAGCATGACCACGTTATGCCATTTTCGATTGTACTGTGTGCTTCTCTCCAGCTTTGACCTTTGTGGAGGCTCATGAGCGCCCGTTTCAGTGGCTCGGATTCTCGGCAAGACAACAGAAGTTCAGCACTGGAGGCTGTGATCTGACACGTGTGTTAAGCGTCTATAGAATTCGAGCAGTTATCATATAAGGCAAATAGTAATAAAAATTGCATATAAAGTTATTGCACATCCGTTTTTGCTTACACGGAAGCTTTAGTAATTGTTTGAGTAGCTACGTCATTCATATGATACCGGTTGGAAAGGCCAGAATGCAGTGAACACGAGGAATAAGCGTTTTATTTTTCTACTTTTCTCCGAGGCTCACGTCGGTCAAGCACTCTGGAGATATCTCTACTTCCTGTATTGCTGACGCACGAAGAAATTTATTCAATCTGACCTTTTGCGGAGTACGCTATACTAAGCGGATTGTGCAACACCTGCAGCTCACAAATTACGCCACGAAAAGTTAATTGCAGAATTTCCAAGTTTGGAACACGTTAATAGTGGGCACTTAACAAAGAAAGCGATTGCGCGGTATTTTATTGTATATACAGTTATTTGTAAAATTCGTGCGCAGAAAGAAGTCGCGGTTAATTAATTTTATGTTTCAATTTAGGATCTGGGTTATGCGGCGTAAAACATAGAACCTTCAAATTTCCCGTTTTCCGTTCACTTTTGGACTTCGCAGTTTCTTCGGAACTCCAAAAACTAGCCTACATGAAACTGCCCTCTCACTCGGTATTAACAGCAGAGTAGGCGCTATGCGTGTTTTAGGCCAATCGCGTCTCCGGTTAGGGTCACGTGACTATAGTCTCCCAGCTGGTGATAAGGCCGAGCACGGGAGTTGCCTGAAGGCCAAGGCCACATATCATCCACTGGACTGTCAACTTTGGAACTAACTTACAAGAGAATACATGTGGCATATCCTCTCGTGTTTATTGGTGGCATAAGTCCCTTAATAATAAGCCTTTTGTCAGCGCACTCCTGTTCTGACCTTAAGGCAGCTCCTGCTTTTTTACTCCTTGTCTCTTACCCTAAGCTGAAAGCGTGGTAGAAGGTGAGCGCTCGTCGGACCAACCAACCGTCTGCTTTTTATCGTGATGCTTAAAACCTGAGACTTGGAAGGAAACCTGAAGTCAGGCGCGGGTAACGGAAGGAGCGTGATCACGTGGTAAAAGATTGACGGATAACGTACAAGCGGTTCTCAATCCCGGAGACAGGACGTCGTCATGTCTATTTTTTTTCCCTTCTACGTTTTGATGTTTCTCTTCTAACCCAGCCTCAGGCTAATACAACATGGTTAATATTTACCAGCTGGCCTGCTCCCTTGCTATATTTTCCCTGCACCCTTACTATATTTTGCTGAAAGCGTTTCGCGTGTGTTGCGGCCTGCCGTGGATTTCGTTGTTAAATTATATATCGTCCGCGACAACGTACTGAAATTGTACCAAAGCTACAGCGTCCGAACTGGCCTATGCGCGTATCGCTAAGAATAAATTTCTTCAAAGAAGCCCCCCGGAAAAAAATTCGTGATGCGTTTAGTGTTTGGTTCAGAAAATGGCAGCTTGTGCCATTTCGTGTTAAATCTTCACGGAGCCCTTACTTTTCGTTTTTGTGTTTTTGTAGTTGTTGCGCAGTGCCCGCGTCGTCATAGACCTAGGATTACATCTTTGAAATCCGAATATTTTATCGTAAGTGCATTGCAACCTACCTGCTGAAGGACGGTTGACCGCCCTTCAACGGGTACTCTTCCGGACTACCTGTAGAATTACCCCGGCTCTTAATTGTTAGCTTTGCAATTTTCTCAGTTGTAAAACAGCTTAGTAGTGTCTCTTCACATTTCACAGCTCGCTTGCACTTTTGTTCTTATCTACGGAAGAGGCTGTGTGTAATAAAATTCTAGGAGATTTAAATCAATTGTGTCTGTTTTAGCAGCAGATTGCTGAGTAAAATTTAGCTATGCTCGTCCTAAGCACCTCATGAGTGCCTAGGGCGACCATTGTATTACCTCTGTAGCAGCATCCTATAAAATGTTCACTGTGGGCGCCCTAGGCTCTTCAGAAGAGCCTGCTCTAAAAATATGCCACGGACATCCTATCGCCTTCGTAGCAACATCCCATACGGTTATCCTTCTTACAACTGGACTTCATCTGATGTTAGAACTGCCATAGGCCTAGGGTAACCCTAGGCTCTTTTTCTAGAGGACGTCCTTAGCAGTCAATACATAGATCTAGAATGTCTGTAGAATGTATGTTGGCATATTTTCTCTAGGGGACGCCGGATGATGATAGGAAGCCATTACCCTTACAAAAATCTGTAGTTAAATTCTTTTGAATTTTTGTTGAAAATTTTCTGGAGTCCTATTGAATTTCTTTTTAAATTTTTTTGATGTTTTTTAGACTTTCTTTTGACAACTTATTTAACTCCTAGTTAAAATTGGCCACTTAAATTTTTTAGAATTCCTTCTTACATACATTCTTTTGAATTCCTTCTTACATACATTCTTTTGAATTTCTTCTTACATAAATTTTGTTGAATTCCTTTTGACAAAACCGCAGATTAACGTCTAAAAAAAACACTAAATTTTTTAATATATTTTTTAATTTCGTTAGGAAATAGTGTCTTTTTGATACATACACCCACAAATAAGCAATGTAAACAAACACAAACACTATGAAGCACTCAACACCACAAACACAGTACTGTTGACAGCACCAGAGCCTTATATAGCCTACATATTGAAGGTAATCATTTGGCCGGTGACCACTTCAGCACTTACTAAGTTTCCAAGTCTCCGGTCTCCTTATCGAAAGTCTGTCAAAGGAAAGGCAGTGTTTCGAAGATCGTGGACTCTATCTCTTACTAAAAAGCATTGATACAACTAGTAATAATTTCTTGTAGTCGCTAAAACAACATCCACAAAAACGGCTGATAGAACAAATGTTTATCGCTTCTCTGCATAGCTCCACTCGGGACGAAGCCAGTCAAGGCGGTAGCTCCACTTTAATATAGCTATTTTGCTCTTCTTTACTAGTTGAATAGGGTCAATAATGCAACGATTGTCATTTACGAAGTGAGAACGGCAGGGCGTGTTTCTCGAACGCCTGCCCTCCAGCACGCGCCCCTTGCCTTCCTTCGTGCTTTGACTGCGCAGTCGAGCTCGAGGGGCGCGAGACGTCGAAGAGTTGTCAAGGATAGAAGGCTCGCGCTGGAGGCAGGAGAACGGAAGCTCCTCCCTATGGTTCTCAACTTGTCAGAGACTATTAAGAAACTTAGTGACTTTTGACATTTAGTCAAGATGTATTATGTTCAATAAAAAGTCAACAGAAAGTCTGTAGCTTTTCTTTTGACACTGGCTACAGAAAGTCGACTGAATAATTTAAACACGAAGTAAATAGAACGTCTGCAGTATTTCTGATAACACTTTCAACAGGAAGTCAACAGAAAAAAGATCCAACGTAGAGTTAATAGAAAGTCAATAGAAAATCATAAAAAAGTTTCAACACAAAATCAACAAATTTTTTGTTGACCATGTCAACAGGAGGTCAGTCGAAATAAAGTAATCAAAGTGAACAAGAAGTCAACACATTTTCAATAAAAAGAAAAAAAAACATCCGTCATATCGGACCCCGCACACGACCGCAGACCAAATAAAAGAATAAAAAAATGTCTCTTTTTATAAAATATTATAAAGAAATAATGTCAATAGGTTTTATTTTTATTTTTTTAGAAAATAACCTACAAAAACGTTGTTACAACTTCTTTTATTTTTTTATAAATACGTCTACAAAACAAAATCAATTGTTTTCCCTTTTGAATTTTTTTAGAAAATAATCTACAGAAAAACGTCTTTACAAGTTCTTTTTAATTTTTTTATAAATAAGTCTACAAAACAATATCTATTGTTTTTCCTTTTGAATTTTTTTAGAAAATATCCTATAGAAAAACGTCTTTACAAGTTCTTTTTAATTTTTTTATAAATAAGTCTACAAAAAAATTCAATATTTTTTCTTTTGAAAGTTTTTTGACATTAGTCAAAACAAAGTGCGTTTCTAAAGAAATTCAGTAGGATCGCGGAAAGTCCATAAGAAGTCTAAAAAAATTAAAAAGAATGTTGAGACCCATTTTTGTAAGGGTAGCGCTCATGACATTGTACGAAAGCTGCTTCATTGCGCAGTTGCTACACCGCTGACGTACTCTGGATGTACAGAGAGTACAGGGAGTTCCCGAGAAACGAGAGCAGTGTTTTTCAGCCTAGAACAACAAGCAATGCGTCGCGGAAATCTGGGACTCCGTGAGAATGTGAAGCTAGCGGTTGGGATATAATACGAACGTTTGAGAAGATGACGTGGCCTGGTTTGAAAGATGATTGAATAAAACAAAAATTCTTAATGAGCCGACGTCCGCCTAAGTGTAATACCACGAAAACATGGTATTGTGAACGCGCGTGGGATTTATATCTGTGGAAAACAATTTCCAGTAAGATATATATATATTTTTCTTTCTTGCTGACAAGTTAGTTTCACTGAGATAGATGCTACAGGCGGCCCCGTTGTAATTTGTTGTTATGACGAAGTTAGGCTTAGGTGGACGTCGGCTAATAAAGAAAGTTTCTTTTTTCTCAATTATCTTTTGATCCAGGTAATGCCATGTTGTCAAACTTTCGCATTCTAACCCAACTGCTAGCGTCACATTCTCACCGAGTTGGAGCATTCTGCGATGTATAGTTTATTTACCCGGGCCGAAAAACACGGTTC